GTACCAACAAAACTCTATAGTCCCTCGTCTACTCAGCAGGCATCATTACCAGTGCCATGTTATCCTCATGGACAATCAGCCATGCCTAAAGCTTCATCCCATAAGCCACGGGTCGCTCCTCATGCAAATCAACGAGCCCATGGCCGAGGTCATCCGAATCAGCGCCGCGATCAGAATAGGCCCAACAACAACTTGGAAAGAAGGACTGCTCCTCTTCATCCGGTCCCTATGTCGCACAGTCAGCTTCTCTCGCATTTGATTCAAAACTCATTGGTGGAGCCTAAAACTCTTAAGCCTGTGCCAGAACCATACCCTCCTGGGTACAATCCCAATGCTCAGTGTGGATATCATGGAGGATCCATGGGGCACTCGACTGAAGAATGCAAAGCCTTCCAAGCCAAGGTGCAACAACTAATTGACAAAGGGTACATCTCTTTTCCAGAAGGAAGTTTGGTTGTCCATGTCAACCTCTCAGCTGTCTAAACTCGAATATTTCAAGGGTCATTTCCAGAAGCCAGTGGTCTAGACAGGCAGACATCCTCAACATTGGCAGTCCTTGAACGCTTTTATCATTTGCATCTTGTAGTTTATTTCCTGTTAATTGCTACTTGTGTTTAAACATTGTTGTTTTGAATGGTAATATTAATGGAGTTATTATGCATTTTCCGAATCAGTCACGTCGTATACACTCATTATTTCCACTTATCACAGACACATACACTTTTTATCCACTCCACTTTATCACTGTTGTTTTAGCAAAGATTGGAGGGAGGATGACGAAAACGAAATACCCATAATAGCAAACTATATGCTTTCAGACATAATCTCGTCAATGATGTACAGGCATTGTTTCAAATCCCCTAAACACCGGAGATATAAGGAGTTAATCCCTAGTCAACCACTTCGAGCCTAGAAGTAGGAGTTTCCTTCGGATATTCAAACCCTTACACTCAACCTGGGGCAGGGTAGTGTTCAGTTAACCCGATTATGCACTCGAATCAACAAAACAAAATCTAGACGACGGTTGTTCATTAATGACCCATGACTTGGCAGTCACAGTCCTCCAACAAAATAAAAAAAAAAGTCATAAGCCTGCTAAGTCAAACACCTCAAAGGAGACTTAGGCAAAAATCAAGGCTATCCTGATGGATCTGACAAGCCAAATCAGTCCATGCAAAAGTTAGGGATCAAAAACAAAATCAAAAGAGGTCCTCAAACCCTCAACAAAAACAAAATAAGATTTAGTGACCACCCAAATCAAAGGGTCATTGACATCCATCAAAATAAGGTGGCTGCCATTTCGAGCAAACCTTGAACCATTAAGCTTACACCGTCAAGACATGTATGCGCAGAATTAACTGAACATAGGTATGGAGATCATCAAGAAGATGGGGTGGGTACAAATAATTCTTTGAGCCTAATATCCTTTATTCTATAAACCGTGAACCAGACCACATTACAACCCTCGAAAGACCTAATTGAGGCGGGGTTTATTCTGAAAGCTTATTATTGCGAGGTTGCGTAACCTGACTCCCACATATTTGCTAATCATCAGTATTGGTGTCAACATCTTTGCCATATCTTTCGCACCAATCAAATTAGCACAACGTTTGGACTAAATGGTCCATTCGTTTCACTATCACGACACTTAATAAACGACATTTCTTTTCAAAAACTTGCATGAACGTTGCATTAAAACTACCATTCGTGAACAAACAATTTCAATTGCAAGTTAGTAGTTGGCATCAAGGAAATTCCAACACGAAGCAATCAAACAGGACTTGACCATTTCAACAGTCTGGATCAGAATCGAGCATACTTTGTAGCCCTGTGGATCTGAGGCGCTGTCATCCCGAGAATTTGGAAGCAGTCAGTCTGAGGCAAATCCCCAAACATCAGTTGATTATGGGGCAAATCATTCAAGAAGCGGTTGATCATAAGTGAATCACACCAATCAGGGGCAGGCCACCCAGAGTTTCTTTGACTTAAGGATAGATCCCTCCAATGTTCAATCAGGATAAGTTAAGTCGCTTCAACGCTCTTTCAAGAGCAAGCTACTCCAAAAAGTATATTGAAGCCAACCACGAGAATCGGTTGATCAATGTTAAATCCTTTCGTGGTACAAACTCTGGGGAAAGCCATCTCGAGGTCGTCTCATTGCAAGCTACTCAAGCAATTTCATCCTCATCAACAATTGTTAAGTTCAAAACGAGTGTTGGGGAATCATACCATCACCTCACCTAATTAACCTTAACCTTCCAAAAAGGCCTTGCTGTCATTGGATCCTTCATCCCACAGCCTAAACCTATCAAAACGAATCAAAACCTCCAAAGTCCAGTTCTCATCTGGCAAGCCTGAATACCAGTCCCATCTGGTCAACCCCTCGCTGAATACCAATTCCTGTTTGGTATATGTCAACCTTCAAACCAGTCCCATCTGGTCAACCCTTCGTTGAATACCAATTCCCGCTTGGTATATGTCAACCTTCAGACCAGTCCCATCTGGTCAACCATTCGCTGAATACCAATTCCCGTTTGGTATATGTTACCTTCAAACCAGTCCTCGTCTGGTCACTCATTCTTTAGCCTACCATTTAACTAGTTCTCGTCTGGTAATCACAGTTCCAAAGTCCAGTTCTCGTCTGGCAAACCACAAAGTCAATTCCCGTTTGACACCAAAGCCAGAAGTCAAGTTCTCGTCTGACAGCTTAACCTTTCGCCAACCAGTCCCATCTGGTTTCCCTTTCGAATACCAGTCCTCGTCTGGTACTTCCAACCCAAAGTCTAATTTACATTGGCAACCACCAAAAGTCTGCCATGGCATCACCTGCATTCCCAGTCACCCGCCTGCATCCATCATTATCATATGCATCATACACATCGCATTCGAGTTCATAAGCATCTTGCATCATATGCATATTCCTAATCATATCATACTTTTCCCCGGCTCTTGCATCTCCGCGCATTAGCATTTGCATTTGCATTTCCATTTATTGGGACAGCATCATCATAAAGCATTAGCATATGCGAGCTCAGATCCAAGATCAAATTTTGAAGATTTTCAAGATCATCATCAGCCCAGTCAGGGGCATCCCTTGCAATATCGTGGTTTTCTCCCACGAGAGTCAGAGGATATCAAGATCATAATCAGCCCAGTCAAGGGCATTTTCCGCAAGACCGTGGGCGTTCTCCCACAGAGTTTGCAACTTTTGTTGGGCAAATTCAAGAGCTTCAATGCAATCATCAGCCCAATCAGGGGCATTACTTGCAAAAACTGTGGGTCCTCCCACAAAATTCAAGATCACTAAAGAAAAAAATCCAGCCCGATCAGGGGCATCTTTTCAAAACCATGGGTGTATTGCATGGCGTATTTCAACCTTGTGGTTAATCAGATCTTCAAATCAACATTCAGCCCAGACAGGGGCATCTCCAGTAAAGTCATGGGCGATCCCCAGTGCTTTGTCTCCAACAGACTTGACCCTTCAGCGATAAGTGGCAATCTCTTCAGAGAAGCTTATCCTTCATCAACGATAAGTGGCAATCTCTTGGGAGAAGCTTATCCGTCTTCAGCGATAAGTGGCAATCTCTTCAGGGAAGCTTATCCTTCATCAGCGATAAGTGGCAATCTCTTCAGGGAAGCTTATCCTTCATCCGCGATAAGTGGCAATCTCTTCAGGGAAGCTTATCCTTCATCAGCGATAAGTGGCAATCTCTTCAGGGAAGCTTATCCTTCATCAACGATAAGTGGAAATCTCTTCAGGGAAGCTTATCCTTCATCAGCGATAAGTGGCAATCTCTGCAGAGAAGCTTATCCTCCTACATCCTTTTGGTATTAGGGTTGATTTTGTTTCGCTCCGTCATCCTTTTGGTGGGGGGTCTATCATAGTCATTAATGATAGATTGTGCGATAATGTTTGGTGTGAGTTTTGCTCTATCATCCTTTTGGTGGTAGTAGCCGTGTGAGTTCTTTCCCATCATCCTTTTGGTGATGACGACCTGTTGCCATTTATCCACAGTTTGCTCAGAGGTATACTTCATCCAGCATTTTAATCCCCGAGCATCTCTTTTCTTTTCGGACAAATTCAGGGTCTTATTTATATCTAATTGACTTCTACCTCGTAGGAAAGAGCGCTGTAGCAGTTTATCTTACTCAGTTTAAGCCAATTAGATAGGGGCATCTGTCATACCCTAAATTTGTCCTACTTTACCATTCTCTTACATTTAACCAACATATTATTTCGTGGTCATTCTCATCGGGTCTTTAGCCACGAACTTTTAGCATGCACGTCGAAGAACATTTGTGTGTGTGTATTATGACTACATGTCCTTTGAAAATATGGCTAGTTCTTATGGAGGGGTGTGCTTTCATTTTCATGATCAGACCATACGTTCGTCTAGGACAATATTTGGATCATTTTCAAAACATAGAAGGATCGTTTTTGTTATGGAGGTTAGGCCATGTGAGTTAAATTAAAGTCTTGATTAAAGGATTCACAGTTTGATGAAAGGTTGATGCCCAAGATTAAGTTTGGATTTAAGTTTTGTGATCAAATTAACAAATTTTAAGTGATTATTTGCAAAATTCAGTTGGGTTGTCCTTTAGTTATGGCGGGCTTATGCTAGGAGACGAAGTTTGAATTAAATTACAAACTGTATGTGATTTATTTTCAATTTACAAATACATGCCAACTTTTCTTTTGTGAAGTCGGGTCGTGGTCAAGAAATATTGAGACTCAAGTGGGTGTTTGTTGCCAAAGTTTGGTACAACTCAAAGTTCAAAATAATAATATTGCATACAAAGGTCTATTAAAAGACATGGCACTAAATTAAAAGTCACAATATGGAACGAGAATGAATCATTCTGAATGATGACAATTGAAATCGGAAAATAAACATGCGATTGGAAAAGAATAACAATAGATATAGATAAAAAGAGAAGATATTGAATGTGTCTCGCCGATAACACACAGTCATCGTTCCAACTGTTTCCTTCGATAACCGATGGCCTCTCCCACCGAGCCTTCTAGTTCTCGCTCCGTCTTCCTCGGCGTCGATGTCGGCACCGGCAGCGCTCGCGCTGGCCTGTTTGACGAGGAAGGGAAGCTTCTTGGTTCGTCTAGCAGCCCGATACAGATATGGAAAGATGGTGCTTTTGTTGAGCAATCCTCTACAGATATATGGCTTGCAGTATGTGCTGCAGTAAAAGCAGCCTGCTCTAAAGCAGAAGTTGCACCTACAGAAGTAAAGGCTCTGGGATTTGCAGCTACTTGTTCACTTGTTGCGGTGGATTCTGACAGCTCACCTGTTTCGGTTTCTCCGAGTGGTGATTCAAGAAGAAATGTGATAGTATGGATGGATCATATTGCTTCATTATCGCTTTCGTCGCGTTCTACGGTGTTGTTTTCATTTGCAAGGCTACATCTTAGATTACCATCAAGAATATTACAGCCACAACCGGAGAATGCAGATTTTTAATCCCGACGGAGATGTTGATATCCTGGTAGGAGTCGGTGCTGCTAACTTAGTTTTAGCTCACACTTTCGGCAAGAATAGGCGAGAAAGAAGGTAACCTCCCTTCACAATGCAAGGTTGGAGCAAGAAACATTCATTTCCCTGCTCGAAGAGTAAGATACAATTAGATGTGTGCAATACAAAATAAAAGATGCTCAAGATTGGTCGACATGTGCACCTCTTACCATTGTTTGTAATGGTTGTTTCTCAAATTTGTGTCGTACTCTTCGTAATCCTAAGCATAGAAAAAGTTGTCTGATTGATGTTCCTGGCCAGAAGGATCCATCCATTTCCAATGGTGAAACGACAAAGCATTTGAAGACATTGGTAGCTCCACAGGTACCCCCTGAGCTTCACGATGCTTTCATAGCTGCAGTGGACAAAGACAACATAAGGATAATGCCAAACAGGAACACTAATCCACCAGTATCAACAAGAAGCTACGGACAAAATTCAGGGCAAACTGTCTCGCCACTCACATCCTATGCATCAATGAGTCCGGCAAAATTGACATGAAAAAGCGCTAGCTCACTAAAACGCAGCAGTACGAGTTACAACGCACTCACCGTAAAAAAACGTACCGGCACCAACTTGGCTCCTACAGCACTACTTGATTCACCTCCACTCAATCCATGACTGCTGTTAGTGCCCCTGGTCCACAATAATTCATGCTGCCATGCCTCCTTCAAGGACTGCAGGAATCACCCAATTTGCCTTTCAACACCAGTTTACATCACACCTGCAAAATACACACAAAAGAGATTATATCATGAATACTACTCAATAACAGCTCTAATCATCTACCAACAAATTTATTGCGACATGTTCGATGCTGACAAAGTGAGTGAGCTACGACTTCAATTCTGAATCGCGGCTTGTACCAGCTAGCGGTCTCAATTTACTTCAAGGTTATGAGTTGGGAATGATGGGGATAGAGTTGAGAGTTTGATTAGCGACATTGGTTTGATTCATTTTCACACGAACTCAACAGCAGCTGTCTGTGTTCAACGAAAACGGTGCAGAAATTCGATAACCATAAGCCAGCAACAAAACGGTTTCTCCGTCAACAACTGGACCACCATTCACAACTACAACATTGCGACAACAAATTGATTCTGCATTGCAAGAACACCTCGTCCGCGGCTCACCACTACAAAACAAAACAAACAGTCAAAAGGACAATAGCAGACCTGCTGTGTCTTAGTGCAAACCTGCTACAACCAGTTGAAATCCCACTCCAGACAATACCTGCTATTACTGCTTCAGCCTTTGCACAACAGCAGCACTGCTACTACTCCTCCCACACCAGACAAACAACCTGCCACAAGCAAACAAAATGGCCAGCTGCAAACCGTACCGCCAGACAACCACTCTGCACAACCGAACAAACCATGAGAACCTTGTCCAAATGGTATCATAAAACAAACACACACACAACAAAGCCTTGAAAAAAAAGACAAAAACCATAAAACAACAAGACAAAAAGGGAGCTGCAATCACTAACCATCAAAACTGAGCTTCAAGAACTCACCCCTTCAACACCTTTCTTCAAAAAACATCCATCCAAAAACTTCAACACCCTCCTTCTGAAACGATCACTGATCTCACCGCAAATCTTTCTCTTCCACAAACGTGTTCTTCAACTCACTTCCATTTTCATGAACACAACAAACTCACCATTCTCAGATTCAACAAGAAAAACTCCATCAAACATCTACTCTTCATGATCTTTCAAACATCATCATCATCTTCATGGCACCTCAAACCTCTCGACCCCTGTTCCTCGTTCAAACTTCATTCAAACCTCCTCAAACAACCACAACCCAACTTGCTCAAATCGAAGCCCAGAAAACTACATTTCACATTACCGAACTTTCACCCTGTCAACCGTCCAAAACAGACACTGAAGAAATCCATGAGTCTTCACCGTAAATCCGCCTTCACAACTCAAAAGCTCTCACTACCACCATGTTCAGAAAGCTTCAAACAAACTCCATAGAAACTCACGCAGAACCCAACTGCGGCTCACATCATCTCTCAACTCAGTTCACCAAAACCGTAAACACCGAACTCCGCTTCAACTCCTACGTTTACCACAACAACAGAACACCACGTTTTTGTTTCAGAACTCACCTCCTCCATCTTCATTATACAAACCATACAACACCTGATAAACTCTCACCTTCAACCTTCGAAACCACTCGAAGCCACCGCTAAAGATCTTCAACTTTTGAAACCAACTCTCGAAATCCATCGCCCAGAATCTCATCTCAACCTTCTTCAAACCGTGAATCAAACGATAACCCATCCGATCGTAAGCCCTCAACAACAACACCACAGCGAACCCTCCAAATCCCTAAACAGAAACCCTTCAACCTACAAACCAACAATCAACAACACCATCAATTTTCATCATGAAACAAGTTTCAATCCGAATGCTCAACCATGCCTCCACCATAAATCATCGGAAATCATCATCACTATTCAATCCTTCCACCATTCATTGATTATAAAACACAAAATCAAATCCAATACTCACCCCCTAGAATGAAACCAGAACAAAATCAGAAGAGGAAGTGAAGATGAGGACGAAGTGGAATTGGAAGAACAAAACCCTTACAAACCTCAAATCACGGGCGATGATGGAAGTGAACAAAGCGGAGAGCCACCGTGAAGTCCCACTCACCAATACCTCCACCTTCATCCTTCAAACTCAACTCTAAGCCGCCGCGAAAACCCTCCTATTTTCCTCCTCACCGTCATGCGAAACTTATACGAAACTCGCTCCGTTAACCAACCGCAACCCTATTCAAATCTTTTCTTCTCTTTTCGTCTCCCCACGAATCATAGCAACATTCAACCGTGTACTTCTCTGCTGGTACTCCTTTTCTTTTTTTTCTTTTTTTAATAGTAACATTTTCTATTTTAAACTTTATAGTTTTATGTATATTATTGAATATTATTATTAGTTAACATGTATATTATATATCATATTTTTTTAAGTTTTTTTCTTTAAAGTTTATATATATATATATATATATATATATATTATGTTCATATTACATTTCTTGTAACATTTCTATTATATTTTCTTCTAGGACTCTAGATTCACTTTATATTAGAATATATTCTTTTATTTTATTTTCATATTAGAGATAGATTTTATTTCTCTTTTATTATTGACATTTTGTTCCATTTTTTTGGGGTCGATGACGAGACCTCCGTAATTCATTACCAGTCAAATTATTGATGAGTAATGTTGGATCTGAGACCACCTCTTTTCTATCCACATTACTTGTCCCGACTTGATTCAAAAACTTTGTCAAACAATTTTCACAATCAAATTATCTTTGTATTGAATTAAAAAGAGGGGATTAAGTGTAGACTTTCTTCCTCTCCGGGTGTTGGGATGCCCACTGTAGTGAGGGTGGTTCCGACACTCGTCTTTCAATACGAAGACGCTTCCCATCCATTTTCAAATCTCATCTCCTTAAAATCAATTCCTTGTATTGAATTAAAAAAGAGAGGATTGGGTGTAGACCTTTTCTTCTTCAAGCGTAGGGATGCCCACTGTAGTGAGGGTGGTCTCGATGCTCGTCTGTCAATACAAAGACGCTTTCCTCATAAAACCTCGGTCTCGTACTGAGTATACTTTCAATAATAAATTAATTTCTATTTGTATCGAATTAAAGAGAGAAGATTGGGTGTAGACCTCTTCTTCTCCGAGTGATGGGATGCCCACTGTAGTGAGGGTGGTCTCGACACTCGTCTTTCGATACGAAGACGCGCTTTTATCCACCATCTCGCTTTCACAACTTCCTTCCACAATTTTCACACCTAAAACCTCGGTCCTGTACCGAGTGCATTTTCAAATCTTTTCATAAAACTTGAATGGTCGTGGAGTGGTTAGGCGTAGGCCTTCTCCTATCCCGAGTGTTGACGTTTACCGTAGGGTTCTCTGTCGCAAAACACTTACCATTCAAAGCCAAAAACACTTTAATAAGAGAATGAAGTTCTTTTTGTGTTGAACTAAAGAGAGAGGATTGAGTGTAGTTTTCTTCCTCTCCGAGTGTCAGGATACTCACTGTAGTGTGTATGGTCTTGATACTCGTCTTTCAATACGAAGACGCCTCGTTCGCCACACCTTTTTATAACCGAAAACTTTGAGATAACGAATTGGGTACTACCCGTAGGGGTTACTATCCGAGGACCTATCTCGCCCCTAAAAACAATCTCAACCAATCAAACATGATACCTTGCCTCGCATGGCGAAAACCAACCTTTCAAACGGGATGTGTTACGTCCGTTCTACCGCAAACAGGTACGCATAAGTCTCCTCACATGCGAGCAGCAAAACACCTAAACTGCTAGAATGCGCACGATAACATCATCCACAAAAACACCAGTTATCCGTAGTACCACGAACTACGTTGCTCTGATTTCTCTTGTCTATTGAGAATACGTAGGCATAGGATTGCGACAATCCTAGCGAGCACCCTTTTCTCTTTTCCACCCTTTTCCTAGAAAGGCATGCTACGTCCGTTCTACCGCAAACAGGTAACGCCTAAGTCTCCAACGAGCGAGCAGCAATACACCTAACTGCTAGAATGCGCATGATAGCAGCGTCTACCAAGACTTCCCCGCACACCGTAGGCACGAACTACGTTGCTCTGATTTCTCATGCATATTGAGAATACGTAGGCATAGGATTGCGATATCCTAGCGAGCACCCTTTTTTCTTTTTCACCCCTTTCCCAGAAAGGCATGCTACGTCCGTTCTACCGCAAACAGGTAACGCCTAAGTCTCCAACGAGCGAGCAGCAATGCGCCTAACTGCTAGAATGTGCACGATAGCGGCGTCTACCAGAACTCCCCCCGCACACCGTAGGCCGAACTACGGCTGCTCTGATTCTTTACTTCTTCGAGTAAAGATACGTAGGCACAAGGGCCACAATCCTTGTCGA